GTAGATTGCTAATGGAACATTTGAAGAAAATCACTTTCGTATTAGATATATTAAAACTGGGAAGATTTGCGTCACATCATCTTTTAATTTTGCTAGTATCACAATTTCATTATTGTTCCAAAAGGAATTTGGTCATGCCATAAAATTGTAGTATCGTCAGCGAAAAGTGTGAACTCACCTTTACTATCAGTAGAGAGCAAACGCGGCACCCATCTCATACACATCGTCCTTATGTCCAAATTTTCAGATAAATACGCCTATAAGTCTGCTAGCTCGCGCATTTTCAGTCGACCACTGCGATGCTCGTCTTGGCAGCTCGTACGGCCTCATTTAAACTCTGCTACCCAATATTTCACTGCTGTGAATGGGCATACTCACGTAGAGTAGAATCAAGTTCATCTTTTATATTGGTTAGGCCTAGACCTTTCACCATTTTCACAAATTGACCGAAAACTTTCGCTATTGATATCTGCCAAACGAATACTGAACAACGCAGCGTCTTCAAACTTGAAACATAAGCTTTATAGATTGTGAACTTTCTAACACCTTGATGTTTTTCAAACAACTATCACCATCTCTTGGTCAGGCCGGGTACTTTTGGAACCACCCTGAAATATGGCTCGATTTCTCAAATATTTCAAATTATTCCTGAAATAATCATTTTATGCGAATTTTTTGGAGCAGGTTCAATTATTATGTCCTCCCTCTCTTCATAGAACATGTCGTAGTTGGTCTTGTAAAATAGAATGATTCATTGAAGTTGCGCTTCAGGGTTAGATTTTTCCTGGAGAAAATTATTGCGGCATATTTACTCACTACCAATTCTCTAGATATGTTCAAGTCACCCGTTGGATTCTGTTCAATCTTCGATAGAAATTCAAGAAATATATAGCAAACCCTTCAGATCGGTTACTTGACCTTGTCATGGAGCCATGTAAATGTTTGGATATTTTCAGAATCATTATTTCTTGAACGAATGCGCATTAAATAACAGTGCTTTGTATAAATTTTCATGTGGTAGTTCACAATGAAAACTTGCTCAATTCAAATCCGAATGTGAAACAATGATAATGATATTGATTAAAAAAAATCCAAACCAAGCTGATTGTAACTACTGACTTTGAAAGTGATCGATTTCTGGATTCATTGAGAGAAACACCGGGAGCAAACAATAAGTTTTCCGGGAACAAGGTCCCTTGTAATCGCTCGGAACTGAGAGCAACAATCCCTGTTAAAATACAGAAATGAGTTCGTTAACGACCAAATTGGGCAAAGGGTTGATGTTCAATTTCGTTCACGATTTGTACGCTCGACTTGAATCTCAGGAGGCCCGCTTGTACAATCTGATGGGTGGGTGAATCGGGATAGAGGCTCGGCTGAACAGTTGAAGATGCAAATCATTTTTATCGACCAACAAAATCGCTTTTTCTGGATTTCACAGTCATACGCATTATTTTTGTCTGATGTTAACGTTCATTGGAGGTGCACCAGAATTTCTGCACTATTTTCATTGAATAACAATTCTCAACTGACAAAAATTGCATCAAATATATTGATGAGGTGGAGCTACAATGGATCCAAAACAAAAACTACTACACTATAGTAGTTCCACTGAGGACGCGAACTTTTTTGGTGAAACTCGCATCAAAATAAGTGTCGCAGTTCTGTTATAACACAGCACTGTTTATGTCAAAATCGTAAGGCTCAGGATGTGGAGTGTACTCCAGATCACTAAGCCCAAGGATTAAGTGGGAAATGGGAAAAAATACCAGCCTGGTTCAAACAGAACTGGCTGGTATCTCAATCGTTACAAAAGAAATAACCAGGTAAGGAATTTCTGGAAAAACCAACAATCTGCACTGATAGCAGACGAACCCTATTAGCCTGGAACAGACAACGTGTTACCTCAGGGCTAGTACTAGTACAGTGGCACCTACGGCCTGATACTTCGACAATTGCGGAACAAGCCAAACATTACACCCATGCTCAATCCCTAAAGAAGAAATATTTGGCGATGACTAGGAAACTGAGGAAACACCTCCATAATATGGGGCTAGTGGATACACCTCTATGCAGGATGTGTGAACAGGAAGAAGAAACTATCAGGCATGTCCAATGCGAGTGTCCGGAGTAATCGTCAATAAGAGAGTGTTTGTTCGGCGAGTCTTGGCCTACACCTGCCGATATAAAGGAGATGTCTGCCACATCCACGGTTGGCTCCAAACCAGGGAACCCCTCAACGGTCAACAATAGTAACAGGCATAAGAGGCATATAATATTTGTAATTTGGTGAGATGAACGTCAATAGCATTGGTTTGCAACCAAAATCAAACCCGAAATGGTGTTTCGTCAGGCACGAGTGAGATTTAGGCTGAAATAAGAGGCGCATATATTACCAAATTATTACCCAAGTAAAGGTGAGGCCGTGCCAAGGATTGACTGGCATCAGGTTATAAAATGATGTGAACGTACCGCCTCAGAGCACCTTAGCGGTATGTTCACCTGGACCCTCTCAAGAACGAGTTATGCAACGAGTTATGTTGTCTTTCTCATCAAAATGTATCAAACATTATGCTTTCACGTTACTTTTATCGGACCTTATTAACTTGCTTCACCATGGTCAGTTTTTTTCTGGTAAATGTGCATATTTGGAATGTTTTTCTGGTAAATAATTCATTGCATATCATTTCTACATCATATGCCCACAACGATATTTCAATTTTCAACATGTTTACACTGCCAACCTGTACTGATATATCGGACACATCTTTGTAATTCAGAGAATATAGATGCAATCTCCACCTATCTGAGAGTAGCAGAAATGAATAATTTCAAGGTGCCAATAAGCCCCATACCTTAGACAATGGCACAACACAAACTGTACTGGGAAGAGGCAGTCTGGAAAATGTAGATTTCTTTACTGTATTCGTTGCGAATTTCATAACAAATATGGTAGATGTCGCGTATAGTATGAATTGAAAGCGATGTTACATATATGTGAGGAAGTAAAATATTCCAACTTTTCTAACCTGAAAATCACTTGGGAATTCTAAAATAGCTGAACAAATTGGCATAGGTAATACTTAGATAAGTTTCAGTCTGTCGAATAGGAAATACGGTCGTTGGTGTTTATTTGATCCTACAGGTGCCAAATAATGATTAAGTAAAACGCAATCGAGCTTGTTTATGTTTCAATTGTGGAAGTTAAAGTAGAAGAATTACCTTCATTTTTCCCAAAAGTTTTGGTAAGAAGCAAGTACTGTTTTTAACTAACATTTGTAAAATCTCTTCATTAAAATCCCTCTTTCCTGAATTAACTGCTCATACCCGATCTAATAAAGGTAGGTAAGTAATTGTATAGTAAGCAACATTCATTTATGTGTGATTCGAAGAATAATTATATCGATGACCTAATCGATATATCAATGTTTGAGGTAAGTCCCATTATTCATTTAAATAAATTAACCTTGCCAATAATATAAGTATTGGAGCTTTTGTAATTGAGTTTATTAATAATATTATGAACACCGGCTGGCACCTATGTACCTACCTACCTAAATATATACAATACAAAGTTTGTTGAAGTCGATGTATAGTATAGGGCGTACCTGTTACGGAAAAAGAGAAGGAGACCTACGATAGACTGTGACTTACCTTCCACCGACAGTGGCGCACACAATTTATTCATTTGGGTGACGATTTATTGTAATAATACATTTAAAATATAAACACTCGACCTTGTGAAATAACTATATATTTTCTCACGTCCATGTCCGTACCTACAAGAACTAGAGTGGAACATTCATCAGAAAACAAAGTTATACCGCTATTGGCGACATGTTTTTCACAATGAATTAATTGATAACCTGGGAGGCTGAATCTTTCTCTTGTCCGTCGAGTGAATTTGATAGTCACATTTCCATATAAAAAAATCGATTTTGTTTTAGAAAAATACTGATGGAAAAATCAACCGTATCACTAGAATCGAAATCACGTGATACAGATTCAGTTTCTTCGGATTTGAATTATGCGGATGAAGAGGACGACCCGTTCATAAATAGTTTATGGGGAATTCATAAAACTTTAGATGCACTCAGGGGTAAGAGTTGTTCCCAATGAATGTTTTTCTCTTTCAGATGATTGATACAACTATTTTGACGACAGAAAAATTATTGAATTATTCATTTTCTCACCGTGGTTCGTTCGTCCCAAATACAGCTGAACAGCAAAACTGATAAATCCGTCCGAACTGTTGTTGTAAGATACCAGGAGTTTAATTCCAAATTAGATCTTCAGATGATATATGTCATGAATTAGATCACAATCACTTACATATTTCATGAAGATAAATAACTCTGCCTTTAATTGAGTCAGATTTTAGTAAGAACATACATTTTGTTTTTCACGATATCTTTAGACAAATTCAAAATTACAATCAAAATGGTTACAACCAAAATGATTGCAACTAAGAAGTAACTATAAGTTTACGCTTGAGGAAGCTATTGTATAGCGAAACAAGTGTCGCGGTTTTCGTAAAACCCTCTATAGTGAAATTCGTGCAATAAACTGTATCAATTAGTTTTAATATGGATTTTCATCAAGTATCGGCCAGTTCTATTCAATAAATAACTATTAAAAAAGTAATGAATAGTGGACAAGGAATGCTACCACATGAAACAAATAAATTGGAACAGGGCACTCTACAAATGGAACGTCAGATACGACTTTACAGGATCCTTTATCTCGAAATATTGATCGTCATTCGTACTTCAAAATACCGATACTAGATGCCGCCACAAGTGCGAGTATGTAAATGGTAGCCTAAACACAAAATACTGTTTTTTGGTAGATGAAATTCTAGGACCAACCTTAGGCCAATCCTGGAAGTCTGAAAGTCCAAAAAGACTGTTTTTCGGACGTGTTGCGTACACTAATTTTTTCGGAAATCGTGTAAAATACGAAACTAATGAGATACATTACTTAATATCTATCTGTAGAACAAAACTTCAAATATTTTAATTTTTAGTCAACTAGTTAGTGACCCAATAATGTTTCCGATGAAAAATTGGTTGGGTAACAGGATCAATTTTTTCTTAAAAAAACAATCGTTCTTTTGCCGACGTTTCGAATTCAATTAAATTATTCTTCAGGGCTCGAAAAGTAGTTTCTTCGTGCTAATGATATTACCATTTTGAAAACCATCAGACATATTAGATACTTATATATCAAAAATAAAAAACATTCTATAACAACCAAATTTTCGAGACAATACAAAACGACGTAAAACAAATTCGTAAATTATCCATAACAATTTTCTTCGCTTTCCCAACATTTTCATCGCGGTTGTTGATGTGCAAATTCATGCAAATTCTTTGATCACTTTTTTTTCGATAGCAAAAATCGCCAAAAACGCCAAACACTTCTACCTTTATGCCTTTCACCAACAAACTTAATATGTTGAACAGCTGAAACTGTAAACGAATGTTTACAGTTCGAGACGAGTTTACCAACAAAAAAAAAATAAAAAACCGCCATTCAAATGAACTTAGCCCGCGATATTTGAACAATTACCAAATTTTTTAACAGACCATGTATCAATATCGATTTTTTTGAATTTTCAGGAAACATGCACAAACGCGTCGTAGATACAGAGACTATAGGTGATGAGATATCAGATGTTGAAGATACAGTTTTACCACCCACCTACATAGTTCTGCAAATCAACCCAGACATACCAAAAACCACGTTAACCTGGATTATTGATAAAATAAAGGGGAAAAAGCGAGATGGAGGAGGAGAATTGATTGTCATGAAACAGTCATGCAATCCGGAGGATGTGAGTACCTAAAAACGTTTCCCGATAAAACCAGTATTTTTTTAAATTTTTTTTTTCAACTATGTGTTATGTTTGCAGCCGGTAAAATTATAAAACAACAATAAAAATTAATTGGCGCTCCGGGGCGACTTCATTGATTCCAATGGCGCATTTGCTTTTTCAACTGCAGGAAAACCCGGAAAAACCTGAATTTCACTAGTTCGGACTTCTATTGTCTACTATATAAAATGATTTGAAATCCCTGAAACAAATCCAACTATGTGTTATGTTTGCAGCTGATAAAATTATAAAACGACGATAAAAATAAAAACAACAATAAAAATTAATTGGCGCTCCGGGGCGACTTCATTGGTTCCAGTGGCGCATTTGCTTTTTCAGCTGCAGGAAAATCCGAAAAAACCTGCAGCACCACATCCTCTGGAGATCTTGATCTGCCAATGTCCTCTCTCATAAAACAAAATGTAGGGTGTCTCCAGAGGCTCCGATAGATTCAATATATCGCCAGAACACTTCGTGACACGACTATCGTAAAACTTAAACCAGTGCGTTTCGTCTTTGACCAAGGCGTAATAATGATCAAATTCAACACCAGAACCACAGTGAACAATGAATGCATGAATATTATAATAGTGGTCTGCTAGATTGAAGTGTTCATCTATTTCGAACCTTCGAAAGAGTTTCTTGCTTCCGTCAGAGGTTGAGTCTTGTTTGAAGATCATAAGTGTTATTATTAGATTGACTGGTGCCTTAGCTATACTTGTTTCCTTTCAACAGTCAGTTAGTTTGGCGCATGTTCGGCAATACAGTTGATCATCACCTGTTAAAAATTCAATTTTCAGATGATTTAACAATAAACTTTGCACGAACTGGTTATTAGTAATATTAGGAAGCGCTAGATAAAGTTCCAGAAATTCACATAAGTTTTCACTACATCTTGAACATTTACTACAAAGTAAACAAGTGAGGATTATTCCAGCAAAAGATTTAAAAACACAAGACGAGATGGACTGTACTCAATAATTTAATCCAGAGCGGTGAGGGGTATTGATTTTGCTATTGTTTTGCTCACGAAGAGTATTCAACAAGAACCCCAAGAATTCGGAACAATCCTCTTGTTGTCTTAACGAGTATCTAGTGGACTTCAAAGACTCCAGGAAATCGGTTGGAGGGAAAGATGATACATTCTTACGAAACTGCAGCTGCATGAACAGGTGTTTGAGTTTGATGAATAAGTAGGAAACATTTCCGTTCTCGTTCATCATTAAAACCACGTTCTTGAAATTCTTCGTCATGAGCAACACTTGTAAAATGCTATTCGTATAGCAAGTGTTTCCTAAATTATCCAATCCAATTTTCTTCTCTAGATTTTCAGGACAACTCTCTACTGATTCGTAAGGAAGAACATGTTTCACATAATCTCCATAAGAACCATTTCTCAAGCTGCGATCGATCCTTCTAAGTGAAGAAGGGTTTCGTAGAGGGACCGATTCGGCTCTTGATTCATGAAGCTCTTCCAGTGAAAGGGAACCAGAACTACGAGGACTGCAACTCATATTTGGGGGACAAGAATGACCTAAGTCCATTGACCGTACTGAAAAAGAAGAAGGTGGATCAATCACTTGTGAATTAACCTTGATAGGGGACTGACGAATATCCACATATCTCGGCTTGTTTCGAAGATATTTCAGTGCTGTACTGAAATTAGGGCAATGCATGATCTCATCAAAATTATGTGATGGAGGAATAGTTTCAAGGACCGAAGCAGCATTGGCACGTTGAATAGCAATACTAGTTCTTTCTATAAAAAAAAGTAGAACGGTGATCTTTCGTTGCTTGTCCTATTCTCCTTCCGAGTTCATGAACGAATAACAGAGACTCCGGGCCATAAACACCAAAAGTTTCAACCGCTACTGTATGGAACCGATAGTTGTTACCAAGATGTTGGTATATTTTTTTAATTTCTTGCAGCTTATCAGTGAAAGTTGTTAACTTATACATAGAGATTTTGTTTTTATTACTCAGCCTTCTTCAATTGGTAGGTTTTCCAATGAAATACCGACTTTTACGCCACGAAAAAAATTTATCAGTTTGACAGTTATTATGAATGCAAACATGCTTTCTTTGCGTTATTTCACCATATTATATATCGGTTACGCTGAAAAGTTCGTAGGCTAACATACAGATGGGCCGGAAAATTGGGCCCTTTTGAAGAAAAAGAAAGTGCTGTTTTATCAGGACAATGCACCGTGTCGCAAATCGATTGAAACGATAGCAAAATTTCATGAAATGGGCTTTGAATTGCTTCCGCATCCACCGTCCTCTCTCCAGATCTGGCCCCCAGCGACTTTTTTCTGTGCTCAGACCCCAAGAGAATGCTCGCTGGAAAAAAATTTGGAGCCGATGAAGAGGTAATCTTTCAAACTGCTGCCTATTATGAAGCGAGAAATTGTATGATTGCTTTAATCGTTGTATCTTCTTCGAAGGCAACTATATTGAATGATAAATTTTTTATACTAGTCTACGAAATTCTCAGCCCAACTCGAAATGTAGAAGGAATAAAAAATGTTGACTCACATTTTCAAGAATCTAAACACTTTTAGAAGGTGTTTAGAAGTGCAAATTGAAGAAAGTACTGGCCGAAGGATGCTTTCACTTCCTCCGTGAATTCGAACTTTTTTGTGGTTAGTGACCTCCAGTACTGGCCTTCTCATGCTTCTTCATATATTGCTTCATCTCTGTGATGGTCTTGTGATTTTTCACAGGCAGCGAAGTTTGCATCACTGAAATACCCGATTCAAATTCGGTTTTTGACTTGATGTTTCATAACATTCAAGAATGTAATTTTTTTTTCAACACGCTTTTATTAGGTTCACCTGTATGTATGTATGTATGTAGGTATATTTGTTTGTTTGTTTGCTCGTAATTCTCAAGCTCGGGATCTGTATTTGATAGAATTATCGACATTATTGCTTGATCTATTCGCGAACAGATGACGCTGTACGTAACCTCCTTGATATAATTCGAACTCACTTTACATGTATTTCTTCATTTTCTGCCTCATTTGTAACCCTCCTTTGCGCGCCTGCTGCCTTGGGCTTGGTAGGTGATTTTCAGCTTCCCTCTCCAGAATCGGAAAATATCAATGGTCATTTTTTTTAAATATACGGCTGACTGATCCCAAGGTTTAGATAAAATAAATATAGTTCAAAAAGACTAAAAAACACCCTTTTATAGAATACGAAACTGAAAAATGGAAAATAAATATAGTTTGAAAAACTAAAAAACACGCTTTCAAAGAACATGAACTAGAAAGTCAAAAATATTTTTCTAAATAAGTTCAAAACAATAACGAACGAAAAATACTTATATTATTGTGAAAAAAGCATGGGCGCTTTGTGCCATATTTTTTGTATATCAAGCGCCCGTCGCCTTTTTACAATAATACTAGTATTTCTCGTTCGTTATTGTTCAAAGCTTATTAAAAAAAAAAGTAACTTTTCAGTTCGATGTTCTTCAAAACGTGTTTTTTAGTTTTTTAAACTATATTTATTTCTAATCATTATTTATGTTCATCATTTTAATTGTACATAATCATCACACACAATTTAATCTGTGAACTCTGACTAATCCGATCTATTTATTGTTAATGGGATATGTATGCAATGAAATTTGAATTTGAGTTTCATTTCGTTCTATTGGGGGCATCCGGGGATCTAACATTTTCCGCCAAACTTAATTGTAACCAGCGATTGAATCCTTCTTTCATTTTTCAGGGTTTGATCCTACACTTATCAGCTTCGAAAATCAAATTACTCGAAGCTGCCGAGGAAATGGAACTAATGAAACAGGATCGAAACGGGCACATAAGAGAATTCACAGTAGCTTCTTTAGAAGACTTTCTGCCGGAAGATAAGCATGTTGATGATTTGTTCACAACAGCTGACAAGCAAACTATCATCAGGTATGAGTTGGAGAACATTAGGGCCTTGGCCGAAGATGACCACATACCGGGATATCCTACCTATTCTCTCTATGTGGGACAATCGATATTCCAGGTGTGCCAAAAATGGAATATTGTTCGGAAAAGCTATCCTCTACACGATGAGGAAACGCTGAAAAAACTCGGGAAGAAGTGGTACATGACTGTGTTTTCGAAACAACCGTTCGGTGAGCAAATTTTATATGAATTATATGAATTTTGTAATTTTTACTTAATATCAGTGTGAACATATTGATGAAGAGGTGCTTTCGCTATCGGGAATATAAGAAAGTAACGGTGTTCGTTCTATAATTTCCCAATTTACTTCTGATCACCAAGACTTAAGAAGGTAACTCTTTGCTGAGGCTTCTTTTAAATGTTCCAAATCAATATGAACCCGATGAGTATGAATAGGAAAACAGATATTGAAGAAAAGAGAATTGAAACTGAAGATACTGAGTATGATTTGAATAATGTTAGAACTATCCATAACTTATCTCTTCCTGTACATTCAATGAACTCTTAAAGTCTATCTAAGAAATGGAATCATCTTCAACAAGTGAGTATACGTTTCAAATTGAACTTCCGCAGGAACAGAAACTTGCTATCTATCTTTCTATCTATAGATTTGTTCATTTAACAGGTTGCACCCGCAGTGTTTATTCTTGTGAATTTCCAAGGAATCCAAATAACTGAGTTTGCAACCCTTCCTTGTATAGTGCAAAATTTTCGTATCGTTTACATTTGGGAACTTGTGGTTGTATGCCAAGGAATGGTTTGAAAACGTCGAATAATTTTCACCTAGTCTAAAAGACTTTTCATGTTCATACTGTTTTTGTAAATTTCGACCACATTGTCCCACATTAACACTATTACACTCCGGATACTTAAGCTAATAGACTATAGATTTCTCCAACTTGTCCACCTTATCTTTGGCATTTATTTCATTTAGTTTCATTCGATGTAAAGAGTATGTTCTCCAACATACCGTACAACGAGGGTAACCACCACATTTTAGATATATTAGATCAAGCCAAAGTAGACCATATTACTTCCTTTGAACTTTCGACAGCTTTTGATGTGTGCCTAAATCAGAGCTACCTACAGTTCAACAACAAATTTCATAAACAGGATTCAGGTTTACCAATTGGCGCACCCCTTAGTCCACTTTTAGTAGACATATTCGTGGACAGCTTGGAGGCCACTATAGTAAATTTTCACCTGGGTGAAAAACATATTTATTTTTGGTACAGATATGTAGACATTTATGACTAATCTCAATAGAAACATACAGTTCACACTCGAAACAGAAATATCTGTAATTTTTATATTATGTTCTTTAAACATAAAATAATCTAAAATTAATTTGCCAAACATTAATTCGATTGTTAAGTATTAAATATGCTTGATTGTGGTCAGAGAGAAAGAGAGAGACAGTTTAAAGTGCAAATGCATCGGCAAATGGACAACACGGCGTCAGTCTAAAGTCACATGTTAGTTTTGTGTTTACGTTATTTGTGATGTTTATTTATTAATGTTGTTACAATGGCTAGTGATAAAATGAAATGTGTTTTCTGTAAAGGACATAAAGAAAAAATCATACTTTTCGTGGTTGATAAACTGAAGAAATGCCAGGAAGTTTTGAGTTACGTTCAAAATATAAATTAAAGTACAGTGACATCGAGTTGTCTACTAAAATAAAAACAACAGATGGATATCACAGACAATGTTACAACAGTTTTACAGCTTTAATGGCAAAATACCGTGATCCATCGACTGAAATAGATAGTATCAGTAAATCTACTTCACATACTTCGATCAATCATCACCATCAACTGTTGGACTCAAAATTTCTGCCCTGGTCAGAATGCAGCTCCAATGGGACACCGAATCGACATATCATTCCTTTACCAGGACGTCAGCGACGGTAAAGGTTTCCTGGTTGGGCAGGGCATAGGCTTCTACCCACTTGCTGAAGTAGTTCATGGCTACTACGATGTATTTATTCCCATGGTCGGACTCTGGGAACGGGCCGGCGATGTCGGTGGCGATTCTCTCAAAAGGAATACCCACGTTATACTGGCGTATTGGGGCTTTCGGTCGTATCCTAGGTCCGTTACTGGCAGCGCATACAGCACACTTTCTGCACCAGTCCTTGACGTCGGCTTGACAATTAACAAGTCATTACATACATAAAAGGACAAAACAAAAAATATACATATACAAGAATGAACAAGGAAAATACACAGAAGAGCAAATCACATTTTTGTCTTCAAAAACTCGTTAAGAGTATAAAAACATCCTTCTAACAGAAATGATTTCAATTTTTTTTAAACAACGAAAGGCTGCATATTGCCTTCTATTTATTTGGTGAACAGTTGTAAATTTTAGGTCCTATACGTTTTGGTGCACTTTGAGTTATCTTATACTTAGCAGATCTAACGTATCATTTGCTTCTGCCGAGTGTTTTTATCATGAATATCGCTATTGAGAATGAAGTCACTTCTGTTAGTGAAAACATAAACTGACAACCCATAAATATATAATTGAACCAGAATTAAACTTTCGTGTGTAACGAAAATGTTTCCGCATGAATACTGTCGAGGAACATTGAACAAACAGCGTAGGATAGCTTTTTGTTGGATAAATAAATTTTTACTCTTTGCGGAGTTGCCTCACCACCAGAGTATCATCATGATTTGGTTTATGTTGAGACAATTCTCAAGTTAATGAAACGATAGGTTATATAGCTCAATTTTGAAACTTGTTGATCGCAGTGCTCATTCCAAGAAAGACTCTCATCCATTTGAATGCCTAGGAATTTAACAGCATCATGGGTGTTTCTCAAAATAGAGTCATTAACAGTCAACTGAATATCATCGGTTTTATTTTGATAGTTGAAGAACAGATCGTGACTATTGAAATAGTTTGAAACTCCATCCAGGGTATATTCACATTTTCCTATTGATTCAGTCGTCGCTTTTGCAGATCACCAAACTAATATCATCTGCATAAGCAGTTACTGCAGAATATGGTATTTTCCTGTCTGAATTATTGATATATAATAGGAAGAAGAGTGGCCCAAGTATAGATCCCTGAGGTACTCCCAACTGGACCGACCTCATTTCTAGTGTTGCAGTCATGTTTGTTCACTGTGTTCCAACATAGTTTATTCTACTGAAGAAAGAATAGAAATTTTTGCAAGCTATTATCGAAATAATGAATGTGTTAAAGCTGCTGCAAGAATTTATAATTCAAATCATACAGACCACAACGTAAGCCATCAATACGTTAAACAGAAGACCTGCGACAGGGAACTGTTCGCGAATGCCGATATCTGACTCCGGACATATTCAATAATGTAAGAAACACTTTCGAAAGTAGACTGGAATATTGTATGGAACGAGAAGAAGGTCATTTTGAACACCTATCCGTTGATTGTGTTGCCATTGATAGTACTTTTGTTGATTTCCTCAATAAAATGAGCGACAGCGAATTTTCTGCTTCTCCTTAAATGAAACGTTCGACATTTATTATCTCTATAACGAATGAACCAATTTTGAAAAAAAATAAAGGAGTAATAGAGACTTACAAAAAAAAATCCTTCAAAACTTCTCCTGTAGTTCATGTTATGGCATGTGCATTTTAGATATGATGGAAGGTGATTGAATATTTTCAACTCATTATAAATGAAAAAGTGTTTAATAAGGAAATACTTTGGAATGGGCAAATTGAAGTTTTTTTTTGACGAGTGGCGTTTGCGTTATTTGAAAATCAATTTCTATGTTCAACTATAAGACATATAGTTTCAATTGGGAAAATTGTAAAAAATTGTAATGAATTGAATTACCTAAGGTTATGTCCCAGCTTCCACATTTGAGAAAAATCAGTGAAGAACTAATAATGGGGAACCCTTCGAGTTCTTCACTGGCTGAAATTTTCATCGATAACATAGAGTATGAAATCCATAATAATCAGTTAACTAACAGTTTCTTGTACTGTTACAGATACGTAGATGATATATTAGTCTGTTTTACTGGTACATATAGGCAATTAGGCAAGTTCATTGAATACGTCAATTCCATTCACCCGTGAATAAAATTCACCACTTAAAAGGAGGTAAATAATCCAATAAATTACCTCGACTCAACCATTACGAAAAATAACAATAAACATAAATTTGCAATTTTTCACAAATCATCTTACATGGACATTATCATACATAAGTCCTCCACACATCCTTACCAGCATTCAACCCAAATTCAAGATGCGATGACGTCAGTTATCGCAGGACATTTTCATATTTGTCAATAATATTGCCCGTTTTTTGAAGAGAGAATGCCTAAACGTAGCTTACAGAACGAATAATAGTCTGAGTAAATTTATTAAAAACAATAAAGAAAAAACTTCGGTGTCGGATAGATCGGTATTATATAAGCTGACTTATGACTCTTGCTCAAAACCGTATATTGGCCAAACAGGAAGAACATTTTCCCAAAGAATCGAAGAGCAAAGAAGTGGTTTTTTGAATCTTCTAGAAGATTTAGAAATCAATAGATTCAGGAATTCGGGTGATTCACTGAATGATAAATTAGGATTGAATAACTCCCCGTTACTAAACTGGGAAACTCGGACATAAGGACAGGTAATTGAATTCATTACAAACTCAGGTAAAACACAGGTACTTGAAATGTAGGTACTTCAAATTGTAAAGTTAGGTATATTAAGCATTGAATATGTAGAATATAGTAAAGACACGCCCGAAGAAGCCATTGTGTGGCGAAACACGTGTTGCGTTTTTGTAAAATCGTTCGGTAAAAATCTCACAATGAAGTGTTTTTTGAATCCTAACTCACAAGATGTCATCCTCACAGCGTGAGTCCTAGAGGGACAAATTTGATTTGCGACCCCTGATATGATCTTCAAATTTCAAATCACTATCAATAATTAGTCCCAGAAATTTTGTTGATGGTTTAGTCACAACAAAGATGTTGTCAACTTGTAGATTGCTAATGGAACATTTGAAGAAAATCACTTTCGTATTAGATATATTAAAACTGGGAAGATTTGCGTCACATCATCTTTTAATTTTGCTAGTATCACAATTTCATTATTGTTCCAAAAGGAATTTGGTCATGCCATAAAATTGTAGTATCGTCAGCGAAAAGTGTGAACTCACCTTTACTAT